TATAGGTTAATTCAAATGTACTCAGAATGGACAGTAGATTTATAAATGTAAAGAAATAAAGTAAATTAGCTTTAAAAATTATTCATAAAGCAGGCATTTGAAGACGGCAATGATATCCAGTGAATGCTAAATTATGTATAATATAAAACACACTTAGTTCCAGAATAATAAAGATCCCCAACCACCATGTGTTCATTGGTGTTCTAGTATGGAATGTAGAAAAGCCGGCTCTTCCTGTTCAATAATATTGATTTGATTCATGTTTACCTGGATTCAAGTTTTAGCTCATATGGACTCCCAGAAAAATAATTATTATAACAAAATATCTTTTCTTCTAACTAATCAATGATAAATGAGCAAGTCCCCACAGGTGTGTTTTAATCTTCCCTGCCTAATTTTTAATACCTGAGTATGTTCAAGCCTAAACCTTGGTAAAGCTAAACTAAGTTCAGAAACCTTTTTAAATTGGTCAAATGACCTGTTTCTTTGTCAGCTCAATAAAAGTAAAGTCTCTATGTGGTCTATTAAATATCCATTTCTAGAATTCATAATTCAGATAGTACAACTGAAGATATTCACCTTTGCAATACGGGGCTCAAGTAACTTTCTAAGTCATTTCAAGTGTGATGCTATTATTTTAATCTTTGGAGAAATAGATCTGTAGGGGTTTGGGCAGTTACTGGCGTCTGTGTTATAATCATATCTTCTAGCTATTCTCTTCCATTTGACATTCTTCCAGAATGTCTATTCATGGATGACAAGGAAATCCCCTTAGGTTAGAATGGGAATAAGAAATCAAATATGTATCTTTAATTTCACTGCTTAAGTCTCCCTTTTTTCTACACCGGCTGAGGTAGGGAATAGAATGCCATTTCATTAAGTTGCTGTCTTTACACTTCACACTTCAGCAACATTGGTGTTGAAGGTATCTTAAGCAGGGATCTAAAACTCAGATGAAGATGCATTTTAAATATTCTAGACTCTAGCCGGAGTATATATAATTCTAATCTTTCCATTCATAGGACAACTTCCAGGGGCAGATTGACTTTGTTGACTGTAAATTTACATATCCTTCTCGACCTGATATACAAGTTCTAAATGGTCTCTCAGTGTCAGTTAGTCCAGGACAAACACTGGCATTTGTTGGAAGCAGCGGATGTGGCAAAAGCACCAGTATTCAGCTGTTGGAACGTTTCTATGACCCTGACCAAGGGAAAGTGGTAAGCAATGCAAATGCTTTAGAGAATTTTGCTTTCTGTAGAATATGTCCAACCCCTAAAAAGTAGCCGTCAAGATGATGCCTTGGCAGACTCACTCTAAATAAAGCTCTCGCCTTAGTCACTCACCCATATGGAAAGTGTCCAGTACCAGTCATCTGCTGGTTGACCTGACTCTACCTCTCAGTTTCTAATAGCATATTCTTCTCAGTTCCAGATGGCCTGCTGACCAGTTAGGCAAAGAAAACTGGGCACACTGCAAAGCTGGNTGGTCTCCAGAAACTTCTATATGTTCCTGGATGATGCCTTCATCTCTGACTTGTATCACATTCTGCCTTTTGCACCAGACCTAATCCATGTAGCAGCTGAAATGTCAGGAAAGTAGTTATTTCTGCTCTTTTATTCCTAAGACTCTTTTTCATTCTTCAGATTACAAATGAAGCCCTCAGTCACATCCGCACTGTTGCTGGAATTGGGAAGGAACGGCAGTTTATTGACGCATTTGAGAGAGAGCTGGAGAAGCCCTTCAAGACAGCCATTCAAAAAGCAAATGTTTATGGATTCTGCTTTGGTTTTTCTCAATGCATAGTATTTGTTGCTAATTCTGCTTCCTACAGATATGGAGGTTACTTAATCCCCAATGAGGGGCTCCATTTCAGCTATGTTTTCAGGTGAGGACTATTGGCCAAGGTCATAAAAGATAAACACTGGGAGGTCTATCAGTTAGCTTTTGCTACTTAACAAACCATTCCAAACTTGGTGTCTTAAACAGCTGAGATTTATTATTTCCCAAGATTCGGTGGATTGTCAGGGTGGTTTTTCTGGACTGGGTCAATTTAGTGAGGCTTCTGAGTGGGCTTCTGTCTCCATGGGGCCTCTCTCACAGGTGAGCTTGTTTTCTTCACATTATGGTCTCAAAATTCCAGACACAACAAATGAGAGCATATCCCAATGAGCACTTTTCGAGTGTCTGCTTGAATCACATTTTCTAATATCTCTTTGGCCAAAGAAAGTCATACAGCCAAGTCCAGATTCATAGAATAGAGAAATGGAATCCACCTTCTAATGAGAGGATCCTATCTGTGTTTCTCCTTTACTCTCACACTATCACACTCACAACACTTCTGACTCTTGATGAATGTCCTACAATTCAACTCCATTCTGATACCATCTGCCTGGAGTTAGGGTCAGATCCCACAGTTTAAGTGCTCAGTCCTACTAGACTGCCCAGATCCCTCAGGCACCCTCTTTCCCTGGAGGCAAAGTGGGGGATAAGACTGAAAGTTCCACCCCTCTAACATGGTTGCTTCCCCTAGCAATCAACCCCCATCATTAGGTTAAGTAGGGGCTTTCCAAAAGTCACTTCATTAACATAACAAAGACCTTGATCACTCTCCAGATTTAGGAAATTCCAGGAGTTTAGGAGCTCTGTGCACCAGGAACTGGGCAAAGACCACATATATGTTTCTTACTATAAATCACAATTCCACAGATAGCAAAGGGGGTGCATACGGAAGTAATGGATTAACCAATCTACCATGCTGGTTCTGCTGAGAAAATCTAGAGGCCTATTCAAGGTGGTTCACTATCTTATCTGAACTCTACTTCTTGCAAAGAACACGTTTCCAGGTGACTTCTCCTAGATCAGCNTTCATTACTAGAACTTTCAAACACTGTTGAGCAAGAGTAGTAATAGAGGGAGTAGAGGAGATTCTCTTAAGCAAAATTTTGTTAAGCATAAAGTATACTTGTCAGGTTACAAAAAAATGTATAACTCTTGTATAAACAAATGCTAGCTAGAAAAAATATTTATAACAAGGAGTAATATACCTAATAACTCTAATATGTGTAGTACTCCTAAACTTGATAAGAGAACAAAAATTAGCTAGTTAAAATGGTTAAAAAACAGGAATATAGACAGGCAGCCCCTTCCCCAAAAAAGGAAATGTAAGAGGAAAATTAACAAATGAAGCATTGTTCAACTTTATTAATAGAGCAATACTAATAAAACAATGAGATACCATTTTCTACCTATCAACTTAATGAAAACTATCATGAATAATAACTTCCTATATTTGCAAAGATAAGGAGAAACTAACACTCTCATACAATATTGGTCAAAGCATGAATTCTTTCAACAGTTTTTAGAGAGTAATCAGGTAGGTAAACCTTCTGACCAAAGTTCATATATGAGTAAATTCTTTCCTATTGTGTGATAATATGCATTCAAGGGTATTTTTTATATTAACCAAAAAATTAATAAAATCTCCTGGTGAAAACTACCTGAATATCTGCCAAAAGGAAAATGGTTGAACAACTTATGATACATCTATCTAAAGAATATTAGACAGCTGTTTTTGAAAGTGTTATGTGTAATGATCTGGAGGGATGGGTAAGTTACACTAAGTAAAAAAAAATCAAAGTACAAAGTAATATGTAGTGTATGATCGATCACTTTTTTGTAAAAAT